CCCGGCTCTCTCTCTCCAGTGTTGGGGAAGGCTGGCAGGAGGGAGCCGCCAACCAACCTCTGACGGACTCGCTTCTACTCAAAGCTCAGCCCTCGAGCCAGGCGGGCGGACGCAGCGAGCGCCTCTGGCCATGAACAGCTCCCAGGATGAGAATGCCACCCTTCGCCTCTTCCCTTTCACGGAGCGCGGGAACAGCGCCGCCGCCACCGCCACCAGCAGCAGCCCGGCAGACGGCGCCACCGCCAGCGCCAGCCTCTCCCCGTCTGAGGCGTTCAGCTTCTTGCCCCTGGCCGGCGGCGCCGGTGGCGTCGGCGGGGGCAGCAACCCGCCGCCCTTCTGGAACAGCCCCTTGAACCAGGGGCTGAGCGTCTTCGTGGGACTGGCCCTGTGCGTGACCATGCTGGGCTTGGGCTGCACGGTGGAGGTGAGCCAGCTGGGCGCGCAGGTGAGGCGGCCGCTGGGCTTGCTGCTAGCGCTGCTCTGCCAGTTCGGGATCATGCCCCTCGTGGCCTTCCTGCTGGCCCTCATCTTCGCCCTCGACGAGGTGGCCGCTGTGGCCGTCCTGCTCTGCGGCTGCTGCCCGGGAGGGAACCTCTCCAACATCATGTCCCTCCTGGTCAACGGGGACATGAACCTCAGGTATCCCTCCCTCCCCATCTCTGTGGGGCCCGCGGGGGAAGGGAGAGAAAAAGCGGGGTTCGCAGGCGCGGTCGCTTGGAGGTGGGCTGGGCGCTCGGGGAAGAAGCCACACGGGACGGCGAGCGCCCTCCCTTGGAAAGAGCGTGGCCCTGCACAGACGAAGGCGGGCGCGACAGGGAACCCCTCCGCGAAGGGCTCTTCCCCCCCCCCCCGGAGGGCGGACCGAATGGAGTTGGGGGTGGCTTCGTCAGAATCCACCGTTGATGGCCTCTTTCAACGCCGCCTCGAAGGTTGCCTTGCTTCCTGGCCAGCTCCGGGCATCAGAACTTCACAGTGGCACGGGCAGGCAGGCATCCAACAGGTGTAGCGCCCTCCAGGGCAAAAAGAAGTTGCATCTGTAGACTTGTCTACCAGCCACGCAGCCAGTAAAAAGGCACGCAAGTCATATGCCTTTTCTAGATCCAGAAAGGATGTGTGTGTGTGTGTGTGTTTTAGGAGACTCTTCATTGATCCCGGGCCGGCTGCTTTCGATGGCTCGCCGCTGCTCTGAGCAAGGGCAGAACTGCCGCTCTTTCATCCCCTGGAAGCCTTGCTTCCTCTCTGCATCTTCAGAGTGGGGAGCGCTGCACCGGTCGAATGCTTGCCTGTTAGGCACCTGTGAAAGGCGCAGGCACCCTTGGCCAGAACTCGCCCAGCCAGAAGGCCAAGCTTTTTCGGGCTGGTGAGGAAAAGACCCGGCCGGCTTGAGCCCGGGTTGTTTCCCGTTCTGGGTGGGGGAGGTGGGAAGGCGCAAAATGAACCCCCAAACACACATCCTGGGGAAGGTTTCCTCTTCCCTAGAAGACCGCTTTCAAGGAGCCTCCTCTTTTTCTCTCTGCTCCTCTCCTCTGAGAGCGGCGTCCGGCTTTCCCCGCCAACCGGCCCCCAAAAGGCCCCGCGTTCCTGGGAGCCTCTTCGTGGGGGATGGAGACTGGGCCGAGGGGGGGGGCGCTTGACCGTTAGACCCGCCCTGCCGCCCACGGTTGCTGGAAGAAATGCAGGGCAGGGGCCTGGGTGGCGGGGAGTTGGAGTTGGCAGCGTGAGGGAGGATGATTGTCGCCCGAGGGGCTGGGTGGGGAGGAAAGGGAGAGAGTGGGGGAGAGAGATAAAGTGCCCAAGTAGGGCCTGCACCGTCTGGAACATCGCCTCGGGCTATGGGAAGCGATACGGGGCATTTTAAGGAACGGGGAGAAGCCCTTGCAAAATGCTCCAGCGAGCAGAGGGATTGTTTCAAAGGAGAGGGGAACACGAACAAAAGAAGAGTCTCGAAATAAGACGCATAGTCAGACACACATTTTGTTCCCACCACATGGCAAAATGGGAAAGAGCATTGAAAAGATTGCAGGGGAAAGAGTGATTCCAAAAAATGAAATTAAAAACACTGAAATGTTGCATCTCCAAACATGTGCAAGGCTTCAGGATGACTCCCATCGTCCACCACAGAAAATCTCTCATGCCTTCTTTTTTATCCTTGCCAGTATCATCATGACCACATCCTCCACCTTGCTGGCGTTGGTCTTGATGCCCCTCTGCCTCTGGATCTACAGCCGGGCTTGGATTGACACCCCACTTGTGCGCTTGTTGCCCCTGGGCGCTGTCACCCTGACCTTATGCAGCACTCTGCTCCCCATCAGCCTTGGGGTCTTCATCCGCTATAGATACTCAAGGGTCGCAGACATCCTGCTGAAGGTAAGCTTGCCCTGACTTCTTTACCCATATGCAGTGGTGCAGATGAGTAATTTTAGATGCTTCAGTCAATGGGGTGGGCTTTAGATTGCTACACATATACTTCAGTTGCTAAACACATAGCGAACATTTCTCCTCCTCTCTCTACACTTAGATGGGTGTAGAAGTCAAGGAGGCAGGGGCAGAAAGAAAGAAAGAAAGAAAGAACGAAAGAAAGAAAGAAAGAAAGAAAGAAAATAAAATACAAATTGAACTGCTAGGCTCATTCTGACACCCAGCTGCCCCTATCACTTATCACTTTCTGGCTGATCACAAGTGGCAGGGTGCTTCGAGATTGCAGGCCCCTTGATTCTGGACAAGAGGTGCAGCCTTAGCTACACCAGTGTCTAAATGCAAGGAACGTCCCAGATCAGAAAGCAGAACATTAAGAAACCTCCTTACTATACTGATGCCTTCCCTGCTAGATGCTTGTGGAGATCTAAGAAGGTGAAAGCTCAACAATTTCAGGGAAATTGTAGAGTCTCTCTTTTATAATGAAACTGGCGTTCACAGATGCCAGCAAGCAGCTATCTGGGGCACTTGTGTTTCTGTCTAGCTCTCCAATTCTACACACATAGACTGCTGAATAGCTCTGAGTATTAAAGACACAAAACAAATACAGTTTACAGTATTTGTATCAGAACAGTAGTGCCTGCATGCAACAGTTCCCAGCAGGACTCAATAGAGCCACATTCCCTTGTTTTTGTGCAAAGGCATGTGCAGAGACAGGTGACAGAGAACTGGAGGATTGTGTGTATGTTTTGTATGTCCATGTACCCTCCCTTTCCCCTTAGTGCAAGTTATTCCATTGGGACAGTGGCATGTACAGGATCTTTTTGCACTTCCTGCCAGGTGAAACCAGATGGCATTAAGTCACCTTAACACTTTCAATAAAAGAGTCTTTGTAGTGCAGCTGGCAGAGTTAAAAGAAAATATCCTCCTGAAATCTTGCAATGTCATGGGTAAAGTAGAATGTTGGGCTGGAGGGACCAAAGATCTAACTAATTGGCCCAAATCCTCTTGCATAGCTATGCAAATTGCATAACCCTTGGAGACAATTGCCCCAAATTAAAAAAAAAAACATGATCGCTTGCACACTGAGTCAGACTATTCCCTGTACATAATAATGTAATATCTGCACTGATTTCTTAACTTGGGACAAGTCACCTTAAAGTTACACCATTTGTGCATTAACTCAGTGTCTATGTAAAAGGACCTGGGCCAATATAAAGCAGTTTCACAGACTCAAGCCACACTTCCTTTAAAAAAAAAAATCCTTGAACTTGTTCAAGTGATCATGTCTAATCTCTTGTTGAGAGTTGCTACCACTGCTAGCTAATTCTCACTTGCCCACCTTCCAGTTGGAACTGCTGCTGATTGGGTTTGGGAAGGTGGGCAAGAAGGCAGCTGATGATAGGCAGAACCAGGGGTAGCCAGTGGAGGAGGTGGAGCCAGGGTAGCATCAACTAGAAATATGCATCTACACACTAAGTTTATACATGTACAGTATATGCATGCATCTACATGGGAGTGAGTGAAACAGCTGCAGAAAGCAACAGCTCTGGTTAATTAACCAAGAAGCAAAATGTTTATTCTGTAGCACTCTCTCAAATTTGAAAAAAATAAAATACAAATTGAATGTTGTGTAAGAAACTGGTAGCCTATACATGACAAGGCCACAATTCTGTGAATTCTTACATGAGAGTAAATCCCAATGAACAAAGTGAGTCTTCTTCATAGAATGCACAGAATTATGTTAGTAAATGCAGCTAACTCGTAAGTGATCAGTAAAATTATTCAGTAGATAATAATAATCAGGTACTGTCAAGCCAATCCTGACTTATGGCAAGTTTGGCAACCCTTTTTGGGATTCTTGCAGGTAGAGAATGTTCAGAAGTGGTTTACAATTCCCATCTTCTGGGGTTGTCCTGGGACTGTGCAGCTTGCCCAAGGTCACAAAGGTTGGCTCTACTTGCAGGGGCCACAGTGGGGAAATCAACTCCCAACCTTTGTCTCCACAACCAGATACGTAAACTAGTGTGTTATCCAGCCAGCCTCACCGCACATACTACGCTGAATCCAGTAAAAAGATAGCACCCACAATAGAAATCCATTTTGATGAATTTTACTTTTTCTCTGCACAGTTGGTTCTTTCCTTATCTATCCCAGGAGTAAATAGACAAGATATACAGTAACATGTTAAGTGTCTGAATACTAGCTAATTTTTATTTCTGTCATAGTTGTTTGTTTTTGCTTTGATAAACACAGTCAGAAATATACTTATGTAGTATTCAAAATGCAATTCTTCAATTAATTATATAAAACACATTTTCCAATGGATATTATTGAAATAATATGTGGAATTACTTAAAGAAGATTGCAGCCAACAGCTGCTTTCTTTTGGATAGCCTTCTTAAGCCAGTGAAACCTACAGGGCTCTTCAAGAGGCAGACATTACAGATTCAGTATAGTGATACAATGGAAACTGAAACTTAACCCGTTGAAGGGAATTTGCCATCTAAAAAGTGGCAATGATAAATATGATAGATTCTTCTTCTTTGACAACATACCAATGTCTACAGGATAGTTGGTCATGATATGCTTGAAACCAAACAAATGCCTAATGTTGTATTTGCCTTTGACTGGATGTAAAACCTGCTGAAGATTAGAACCTAAAACAGAACAGAATATGCTCTGAAGCAAAGGGATTTCTGTTGTGGCTCTCATCCATTTTGAACTACTGCATGCACTTCCAAATAAACAGGAACGATGCCCAGATTTTAGAACTTCATCTTATTTAGGAAGGCCTTAATATAGTGTGCTCAGTTATTTCTTTTCTACATAAGACTTTGCTTTATTTTGGTTTATAAATGTTGCTTTAAGTTATTCTAATGCACTATGTTTTCGCATTACTAATTTTAATGGGGCCACAAGCTGACATGGAAGCTTTTAAGGGCTAGAAAGTAGGGTCTATAAATAAGCAAGTACTTCTCTTACTTAAATCCCTAAACCACTACAGAATGATATCCTCAGAATTCAGCATAACTAATATAGTATAAAAAGTTTAAAGGTTACAATCTTAAGGTTTTCACATCATGTGAGAAATCATATCTTTACAGGATGTAGATGGCAAAGATCCCATTTATCCATGGAAATTTTTTTTAATAAGTAATAGTTATCATAAAAACACATGCAATTGAACAGTTGTACAAGAAGAATGGAAAATAAATTGCAGTAAAATAGAACAATCAACTACATGCCGATCAAAGAATCTATTATATTAGATTGGTCGACATGAAGAAGCTTTAGGGCTGTGTGGTTTACGTGTTTTTTAAACAGTTACTTTTCCTGTTTTGATCAGCTGCTTCTGGTTTTGCAAAAACTATTTTGCCATTACATTCAAACTAGTAAACTGTGGTTTGCACAAGCATTCTACACAAGGCTTGTTTCTGTCTGGAGCAACCATAGAAACTACAGTCTGTTTGTTCAAATGTTATGACAAACCACATTTAGATCCGGAATTGCAAACATTATTGCAAAAGTTATTGGTTTAAACATAATATAAAGTAATTTTTGCTGTTAAGCCCATCAATCCTCAAATGATCATGAAACCCATGCCATGTGTTTAAGCAACACCACCACATGCTATTTTTTTTTAACAGAAAAAGAAAATGTTAAAATGTGTAGAATGGATCTTATAGTCTCATTCTTTCTTGATGTTTATAATCCCATTTAAATGGCTGATAATAATTGATATAGTAAAGTGCGGTAGTGCATTAAAACAAAGTGCTGCTCTTTCTCATCCAGTTCTTTCATTGCTAGGTTTCCTTGTGGTCTCTCCTGGTGACCTTGGTGATCCTTTTCATTCTCACGGGTACCATGCTGGGTCCTGAATTGCTGGCTACTATTCCTGTCACTGTCTACATGGTAGCTGTACTGATGCCCTTGGCAGGCTATGGCTGTGGCTATGGGGTAGCAGCATTATTTCATTTGCCACCCCACTGCAAGAGGACCGTGTCACTGGAGACAGGCTGCCAAAATGTGCAACTCTGTACTGCTATACTCAAGTTGACTTTTCCTCCACAGCTTATTGGAAGCATGTACATGTTTCCCTTACTCTATGCCCTCTTCCAAGCTGCAGAAGCTGGTCTGATTGTGCTGGCCTACAAGGTGTATGGGAAGGATTCTTATAAGCAAGAACCTCTAGGAGGGGAAGAAGAAGAAACAGACATTTCGTACAAGAAGCTCAAGGAAGACGAAGTCCCAGATACTTCTTATGGCACAGTGCTTGCTGAGGGCCATGAATCTGTGCTCATGGAACCTACACAGACTGCCCTCTAGTTGAAAGGAGGACGTGAATGGGAAATCCCATTTTAGGATAAATGATGTAGCAACTGGTCAACCAAAGGGTCGGATGCGGAGAAACAACAACACCAATAAGTTGTTGTAAGCTTGATATCTCCAGTATATATGGTTTTGCAAACCATTTTTATTCCACTCATACTTTGAGTCACAGCCTCCACACCTGCTATCACAAAATGTGCCATCATCTTAAATGTGACACTGAAGTGCAAGCAAGAAAAAGGGCTGTACACTGAAAAGACGGACTTTCTACGGTAATTTTGGACTGAAAGGAAGAGAAAGCCAGCAAGACAGAAACACTGATTGTGTTTGTTGAGTGTAACTGAACACCATCAACTGCATTTACTCTTTAAAAAGCAAAAAAACAAAGTTATGTATTTTGCCTATCATTCAGCTTTGATGTACATGGAAAAGTTGAACCAGTGTTGTATGTATTTACCAGTGATTAAATTTTATTCCAAAGATACAAAGCCATTAAAGAAGACCTACGAGAGACTGTTTTTTGTGTGGTTGCGAACAGGACTGCCCATCTTCCTTTTATGGGAGCAGGAAGGAAGGAGAGCACTCTTCCTCATCAAATTCTTTTCAGTTATGTACCATGCTCCTACATTTTTACAGTAGTTATCTGGGAGGATAATCTTGGGCAGTTGTGACATCAAACTTTATAAAGCCCTATGTCATTTGGTCCCTCTTGACCATTACTAATTGTCAGCTGCCCTCCAAAATTTCACAGAATATTTCTTGTCCTGCTGTCTGAGATTCTTTACCTTAGGGATGCCAAGAACTGGGCCTCATGCTACTAACATGTCAAGTTCATCTTCTGTCACTGAGCACGATCTGTTGAATCCTGTTCCTATGGGCCACATAATTGCTTGAGAATCAAACCAGAGATTTCTTGTTTAACAAGCATCCTTCTCAGAATTTACTTAAGGAACAGCACAAACAGCACAAACATGTGCATACTGTACTTAGTTGAGATTAAACCCCATTGTATCTTGGAGCCTAATTCCAGGTAAGCAATTTTATGTTTAAGACTGGGCTGAAGGGGTGCAAAGTGTCTCTATGCTGTACCTCCTCTGCAGTCTTTGTAACTCACATAGTTGGGTCCAACAAGTGGTTGACTGCAACCTGAGAAGTTTACATTTCCTCTTTCCATATGGAAATCTGAATGCGTGGTAGAATCTAGTTATTACAACATTATCTACTTGTCAGAAAACAGATGATTAGCTGGAGCTTTATTAAGTAAGGAAAAAAAAGCCTACTACATTGATGAGGCATTTATTTACTCCCCAGTACACTTGTCCTGTTTGAGAATCTCCCGGGTTTAGGCAGCCTAAACAAAACACCGGTTCCTGTTGTCCTTGCGCTCAGAACTGCAAGCACACAGGCTAATTCGATGCACGTTCACTGGAAAACAAACGATCTAGGGTTCGGTGCAGGTTACGCCTAGGTCTATTCCAGCAGCCTGAGCCTCAGGCCGAGCCGCCCAGCTGCTCTCATTTAAGAAACGAGGACCGCTGCGAGCGCGCCCGCCCGGGACCCGCCCAGCCGGGTATTTAAGCCGCTTCCGAGGGGAGCCGCGCCCGGGGCGCACATGATGGCTACCTTGGTGGACGAGACCATGGAGAGCTACGTGTATCCCTCTTACAACCCTTACTCCTACCGCTATCAGCCGCCGAAGGGCAAAGGGGGGGGAGGAGGAGGCGGAGGGGGCCCTTGGCGGCCGAGGGGCGGCTACTTCTCCGGCTACGGGGAGAGCGCGGCGGTGGCGGCGGCCGCGGCGGCGGCGGAATACTTCGACAACTACCAGCGAGCGCAACTCAAAGCCATCCTCTCTCAGGTGAATCCCAACCTGACGCCGCGCCTGCGCAAAGCCAACACCAAGGAGGTGGGCGTGCAGGTGAACCCGCGGCAAGACGCCTCGGTGCAGTGCTCGCTGGGGCCGCGCCCGCTCCTCTTGCGCCGCCGAGGCGCCGAGCAAGAGCAAGGCAGCCCCGTCACCGGCAGCGCCCGGCCCGTGCGCTTCCCCAGGACCATCGCGGTTTACTCGCCGGTGGCCTCCCGGCGCCTCAC